GACATATATATTAGTCATTTATGCCTTCCAATACTCAAAATAGCTGCTATATTTTTCAAACTTTTTTTGTTAATAACTTTTTAATAAAGAACGACCGCCGGCTAAAACCTTCTGAAGGTCACTCTGAAGGGTGACCTTGACAACATATGTCAAGGTCAAGGTCATTGGCGAGTGGGGTCTTTTTGTAAATAATTACCATAAATTTTACATGAAAGTAGTTTATATGAAAATTGTTTAGTTTCGCGAAAGACATTTTATGAGCATTATGTTTATTGTAATAGTATTGACAATTTATGAGCATTATTTTTGTTGTAATAGTATTGACAATTTATAAGATGTTTTATATTTTGTCCTGACATATTTTATATATCATATAAACTTTTAATTTATAAAAACTTTTAATTAAAAAAAAAAAATAAAAAACAACAATAACTTTAAAATCTCGTAACTTTCTATCTACACAAACATATATTCGTAAGATATGTTTCTCTCGAAGTTAAATATTCTTATATAAGCTATTCTAATACAAATAATTTTTTAAATAGATATTTCTAGATAGATGTTTCTATTAACACACAACTGACACAACGCACATACGCGCGAATATACACGCATCACACGCACGCACGTACGCATGCACACGTTTCACATACGAATTGTATATGTGTACGACGTGTGTGTGTGTGTGTGTGTGTGTGTGTGTGTGTGTGTGTGTGTGTGTGTGTGTGCGCGCGCGCGCGTGCGTGCGTGCGTGCGTGCGTGCGTGCGCATTACATTTATATGTATATATCAATTATTTATATAAATACAAACGAGATGTATGTGTAAGAGAAAAATGAATTGCTTATAAAGTGTGACAACTCGCAATAAATTCCTAATCAGAGCAATGGTTTCAATTTGTTCGCGACACATTACTCCGTTTAGTATGATGCCATAAGTTACTCGCGTGCATTAATTTTGATTCAGAGTTTATAAAATAGGGGTGAACCTTGGTTCGCGTGAAAAGTTAAAAACCCGTTTTTTCTTCTTTCGTCGCTTCGTATAAAAAGTTGCATTGTGTAAAAATATTTAATATCTGTAACAGAAATAATTTGTTATAGCAGAGAATAGTTAGGATATTGAAAAATGGCACCTCGTGACACCTCGTTTCGCATGGAAAGTGATGTATGCGTGGAGGCAGTATAGGTTCCGCCCCCCTGCGGGGGGCTCCACTACTGTTAAACTAGACCGTGGTAAATTGCAAACCCCATATATAATACCACACAACAATATTGCTATATAAAAACTATGCATTGTAGCGCATTGTGGTTTGCGGCATTCTTTTTCTCAGCGAAAGATCTATCAAATACACCTATCAAATTGAGGGGCCTCGGAAATAACATTATCTCCAGACAATTTCTTTCTGCAACAAAATTTTCGTCGAAACTTAGTTATCGAGTTATAGAAAAAAATAGTTATCCTATTATTATGGGCCGGGTACAGGAGGTATACAGGAATTGCGGGCGCAGTTTACCGTCCGCTGGATGTAATCCGCTGGCGTGCATTTGCTCACTTACAGAGATAATGGTATGGTATATTGAGAATTTGTTGTCGCGTCGATGCAAAGATGATCAGCTCGCGGAGGCGAGCAATGAGGCGCCTGTTGCAATCAGCTGTCGCGCCGCCCCTGCCTACCTCCTGTACCCGGCCCGTAATAAGTTAACTATTTCCTTTTATAACTCGATAACTAATAAGCTTCGGCGAAAATTTTGTTACAGGAAAAATCGTCTCAAAATCGAGTCAAGAATCTGACATTTGCGGGATAATAGGGTTGTTTTGAATCACCCTGTTTATACACAATGTGATATGTGTATGAGTGTGGTGTATACAAGTCGAGTGATGTGTTTAATCCTTTATATCACACGTGCGTGGAAAGTGGCCCATTACGCGTGCGCCATCTGGCGCGCGTAATGGGCCACTTTCCACGCACTTTGTAATATAAAATAGGGTGTGTAACACGTGCAGGTTGAGAATTGGACACGAGTGCGATCACCCGCACTCGTGTCCAATTCTCAACTTCCCGCACTTGTTACACAAATAACTATTATAAAAGAGGTCAAGTATTCTAATGAAAATGTTTTGCGTCAGAAAGTTTTAATAATTTTTATAAAGTTTCTCACATATATTTTATTTATATTTTGATTTTACTATGATTTTGACATAATTTGTTTAATTTAATATTTTCGTTAAGAATATATAAACATATTAATTTTAGTATATTTGCAATATGGTAATAAAATATAGTTTATTTGATAAAATACGTAAACTAATACTAATACAATTTTAACTAATTATATATAGTAATATTGAAAGTGATAAATTAATTTCATGAGATAAATCCTCATCAATCTCTTTCAGCAAAAGGTATTAGTGTAATTGTATTTATTCAAGTAAAAAAGCAAATATCATATAAAATAATACTTTTTGAAACTTGATCTTCTAATATTTGATCGAAGCAATACTTGAGTAATGTAATTCCATCTTGAAAGGATTAACATAGTCTTCGAGCAAACAAGTTAGAAGGACGAAATATATTGTAAGGATGTATATCGATATATCAATATCTCTTGTTAAGATATATTTTCTAATTTTATTTAATTGTACAAGGGTTGGTACGAAAGTAATGCCTCCTAATTTTTTTCTTTTAAATTTGGCGCCATAAAAAATTTTACGTCTCACTGAGTTATTAAGCCCGTGGCACATTTTAAACTTTGTAAGAACGCTTATGCTGGGTTTACAATGCGAGTCGCAAAGTCGTGAGTCGCAAAAATTGACCAATCACAGTCGATAATCCTCCTCAAATTCGACTGTGATTGGTCAATTCTTGCGACTCATGACTTTGCGACTCGCATTGTAGACCCAGCATTACACAACGTTGGGTTTTGAACGCTTTCAAAACGCTTATCAAACGCTATGTATAACGTTTTGTGATAGTTCTGCAATGTTGAGTGAGGAGACGCTTTTCAGAGCACGTTTAATAAACGCTGATTCACTTTCGTGCAGAGAGTTTGTTGTCAGACTTTTCAAATGTTTAGCAAATGCTTTTTCTAACGCCGTAAGACAATAAGTATTTTTCCTCCGTTCAGAAAACACTTTTTCAATGCGGCGAATTATAGGGCATTTACGCAAACGGCTTGGAAACGCCTAAGAAACGCTTTTCCCGACGCTGTAACACAAGCGTTCCCTCCATTCAGCAAACGCTCTGCCAACAAAGCCGCTAGGCGGCGCATCTTTCTCGCATTTAAAATACACCCAGCCGCGTATATAAGCAGACCCCCTGTGAGTGTAAGGCAAAAAGTAGATTCGGTTTCAAAACCTCCATTATCATTAATAAAAATTATTCTTCTAACGACAAGAGTAAACGCTCAATAGAGGCTGCATGCAGTTTCCAATAATAAAAGTAGGCTGCGGTCCACTCGATGCTACAAATGCTTTGAAACGTTCTTCTTTTCCTTCTTTTTTTATTGAAAGAAGAAGAGGAGTGCTTCGAAGCATTTGTAGCGTCAAGTGGACCGTAGCCGTAAACGCCTATTAAATGCTTAACAGAGGATCTATAAATGTTTTAAAGAGCTCTCAGCAAACGTCATATGTCATGTAAACGCTGTGCAAATTCTCAAAAATGCTATGTACAAACGCCTTTCAAACGCTGCAGTGTGCATTGCTTTATGAAATCTTTACTGACCGTTTCCAAACTCTCAACGAACTCCCGCAAATGCTCACGTAAACGCCAAAGAA